TGTGATCTCACCAATTGGGGGGGCAGTCTGTGCACTCACCAATCAGGGGATAGGTCTGCACTCTCACCAATCAGGGGAGAGGTCTGTGATCTCACCAATCGGGGAGGTGGTGTGTACACTCACCAATCAGGGGATAGGTCTATGCTCCCGCCAATCAGGGGAAGCCGTCTGCACTCTCACCAATCATGGGGAGGCTGGGGCTGGGTGCCTGTGGATCTAAGGTTGCCCCCTCCCCTCTGTCCATCTTTCTGACTCTCTTTCCCTGGGTCTGAAAGCTCCCTCATCTTCCTACCTGCCACAGTACGTCTGCTGCTTTCCTTTCTAGCTCTCTATCTGGTCTTCCCAGGTCTTCCTCACGTCAGCTTTTCCTCTGCAGGGGAGGAACAGGGAGGATGAGTTAACCACAGATGTCAAAGTAGGAGGCAGAACTCTGAATGCTGCAATCTCTGCTCTTCTGTGACTGTAGAAAAGAAGGGACCATATGCAGGTTCCCAGCCAGTCCTCCGTATTCAGAGCAGGTGACAGCATCCAGGGGGCTTCTGGAGTTTGCATTTGCCTACTTTCTCAATACAGTTTTATTCTTAATTTAGACAGTGTTTTGTGTGCTGTAAGTCTTACTTTACACTTCCGCTTAAGAAAATGAGTTCAGGAGCAGGACAGGAAGGTTAATGTGGGAACCAGGGAAGATGTGGGTCTTCAGAAGCAGGAGAAGGGCTCTCTCCTGCAAAGGCATTCAGATTTTAAATTCCCAACCCTGTGGTCCAAACAGAGGGCATTGACCCCTTGGGCCCCTGCAGGAACACCCTGGCCAGGAAAGGCTGCTTTTAATCAGGTATAAGGAATACTGGGTTTTATCATTTTAGGATATCTGAAATTGAATTGAGTCTTCCATTTGGTAGTGTATCTTAGTTTAGGCAGCTCAAATAATGATGCGTCTCAGTCAGCAGTGACGAAATAAGTAGATTAGCTAAGAATCAGGAGCAGTATAAAGCCTGCTCAGCCTTTACTAAGAGGACAGAGGAAGAGGAACCTTCATCTTTCATCTCAGCAGGAGCTCCCGAGGAGGCACAGGGACAGCCCAGTGCACCTCACAGCTGAGAGCAACCTCCTGCCCAGTGCACAGCTGGGCTGCTCTCTACTCTCAAATTCACACAAGCACCCCATTTCCTCCTCCGGGTCTGTTAAGAATTATAAAGCAAGTGGGAAAAGAAGTAGAAACGTGTAGAGAGATAATTTTTCCAGGGATGATATTCAGAAAGGGAATTTTCAGACTAAAGAAAATCTCAGCTTTGGGCAGCGCCTGTGGCTCAAAGGAGTGGGGGGGGGGTGCTGGCCCCATATACCAGAGGTGGTGGGTTCAAACCCAGCTCTGTCCAAAAGAAAAAAAAGAAAATCTCAGCTTTTCACTAAACTTCCGCTTTTGATCCCTTTTCTAAAACCATTCTCTCCCCACTCTCTCCTCAACACCTATTGAGTTTAAGTTGGTAGCAAAAACAGTTCTATTTTTTTGAGCTGCAGGGTATATAGGCTTTTTAAAAATTTAGGTGGCATTTTTAGAGATCTATATGAGTGACTGGACTGAGCAAAGTTTTAAAATGTCAAGAAAAATGTTTCCGGTTGTGCAGATGTCATTGCTACTAGCAACACAGCAAGAAATCTAATTGGGCTTGAGGCTCGGCGCCCCATACTCTGTAAATGAGGACCACCCTCTGCCCTCACGTACACCTTAAATGTCATGAACAAAACTGCCACAGGCTCTGGAAAAATCCTAACTGTACAGGTTGACCTTGGGTACCTGGGGCTGGCCCTTCTGGGACCCT